ATCTGCCCAACTTGGCCTCCCGAAGAACTGGGATTACAGGTGTGAGCCACTGTGCCCAGCCTAAATGATCTACTTCTAAGTTATAAGCCAGTATCTTCCCTACCTTTAATATCATACTTTCATAAGTATATCTAAAATTCCTAGATGTAAAGAAATGCTACTGTGATTTTTCTTTTTTGGTACTGTACTTTTATGGAGAACCCACTACCAGAAGAGTTAAATGTTTCTCAAGCCAATTGCCGTTTACTTTTAATGATAATTACCAGAATCCACACACTGCCTTTCCTAGTTTTAGAAAAAACAGGCCCACATAGCCATTTTATTTCCAGGCAAAGCTCATGTACCCTCCTGGCTACGTTCCTCAAGAGAACTGTTGTGAAAACAGTTCTGTCTTCCTTCCCTGCTCCATCTTTTCTGGGCTTCCACTCTCTGACTCTCCCCACTACTGTCCAGAGCAATACTTCAAGACTGAGAGCTGTGCCAATCTCTACTGTGGGACAGAATATCAACACATGAGCACGTAAAGTCAAACCTAATCTGAAACTCTTTAGCAGTTCAATGAAGCTCAGGACTCACCTGTGTTTTTTCTTGAATAAGGACTTTATCTGATGGAGAAACTGGATAGGGTTTCAAGGGAGCCTTTATGGTGGCAAATATGAACTCTGTGTGGCTTTCAATAACATTATTCAGATATCTTCCTTCCGACTTCGCTTTATAGTACACTGTGATTTCATCAGTTGGAACCAGACTGCACTGAAAGCACACACAGAAAATCTTAAAAGGGAAGTACATTCTATCAATCAGAACTGAAGAAAGGTACTGTAGAACAAGGGCTATGGATCCCATGCTGAATCATCACAGAAGGGCAGTCACCCTTCCCTGCCTGCTGGGTGATCTGTAAGACTAACTGCACTGCAGTATACGATTAGCTTTGTGTCCTTTTCACCACTCTTTGGGGGCAGGGCATGTTTCTTTTCCTAGCACAATCAGTACCTCATGAATGTTGAAACCAAGAAATAATTTAGAACCCACTTACAAAGCTCTGAACTGATTTAGAGATCACAAGCACCCACTTACCTGCTGGAACAGCTTCCTCAGACCCTGAACTGTCTGGGAAAAAAGCTGTATGGTAGCTGTCACTGCCCTCTGCAGGGCAAGAAATTCATGATTCTCTCACTAGCAGGGGCTTTCCAGCCCCTCTGCTCTCCAGGATGAGCTCTGTGCATATTCCTCAGCTCTCTAATAGGGAAAAACTATGCAGCTCTGTCCAGATCCGGGAACCTCCCCTAAGCTGGGAACCTCCCCTAAGCTAGGACCCTGTCTATGCTGACTATACCTCTGCCCTTCTGCAAAGATACTATCACCTCTGATTACCTTCTGCCCCAGCCACAGGGGCTGTTTTGTAGAAGCCCAACGGAGATAAAAAAAAAAAAATAATAAAAAAAGGATGGGAAAATGCACAGGCTGGCTGAAAGCTACAATTTGGGAGTGAACACATGGGGAGAGGAAGAGGAATGCCTTTCCTGCAGAATGCACTCCAAATGACTATAGATTAGCGACTGTCATGCACTGATCACTATGGCTTGTACTACCTGCCTCTCCTATCTTCCACCAACAACCAAAACAAACAAAAAGCTAAAACGGTAGCTTATTCTTAACTGACTGACTAACCTTTTTGCGAAGTTTCTGTATGCGATTGATGACTTCCCGAGCCATTCCTTCATCTACCATTGACTGGTCAGGAGTGACATCTAAGAGGACCAAAGCCTGTGGGGATGAACAGTGTACACCATGACAATCAAATAAGGAGAAACACTCCTTCCCAATTCAGCAAAATGTTATTTAAATCTTGAGAGTCTATAATGCAGCACTATTCTTTCACACAAATGAGCAAAAGCAATAAAATTAATCTAGTTTATCACTCAGGTACTTCTTCATAATCAGCTAGTCCTCCATTTCTGGAGAAAGGTGTGCAGGTTTTTGTTTCTTCTTTTTTTTGTAGGGCGCTGCTCACAGGAGATGCCCTGGGACCACCTCTTATCAGAGTCCCCTAACATGACTCTGCTTTTTGACCATCTAAGAAATAGTATCAACTCTTCTAATAAGTAAGATCAATAATCATGAAGCCCTTGGAGCAGCACAGCTTTTCAGGCCACAAAAAATGGATCAAACGCCTCAGAGTAGTCAACTCCAAGTGACTTTCTTATACCATGACCCCTGTGATCTTCAGGTTTGTCAGAATGACTCAAAACAAATTCTACGATGGACCACAAAACTTTTTATGACTTCAACTGCCATATTTTTGCTAAGGTTAAAGTTTCTATCTCATCTATGCTGAAGGTTGCTGATTATGATGTAGCAATAATGACAGTACCACTTCTGTTACATAGCACATTGCAGAGTAAAATACACTCTACAAAAGACTTGTACATTAGGCCTCATCTCATTTACCTTTGAGCAAACAGAGAAGAAATGACTCGGCCAGGCGCAATGGCTCACGCCTGTAATCCCAGCACTTTGGGAGGCCAAGGCTGGTGAATCACGAGGTCAGGAAGTCGAGGCCATCCTGGCTAACATGGTGAAACCCTGTCTCTACTAAAAATAAAAAAAATTAGCCGGGTGTGGTGGCGGATGCCTGTAGTCCCAGCTACTCGGGGGGCTGAAGCGGAAGAACAGCGTGAGCCTGGGAAGCGGAGGTTGTAGTGACCCGAGACCACGCCACTGCACTCTAGCCTGGGAAACAGAGTGAGACTCTGTTTCAAAAAAAGAAAAAGGAAATGACTCACTTCACAAAGGCATCAGAGGTAATGAAATGGATGATAAACTCAAAACTCCAGTCAGTGCAGGGCCACTACAACATGTAAACCATGTCAAGAAACATCACATGATGACACTTTTGTAAGTGTGGACAACTTTTCAGGCGCCTAACATCTGCTGTAACGAGGAAGAACTGCCCACTGTCAGTGTTTAGAAACCCCCTTCTTGCCTTCCCCTGCCTTCTTTCCCAGCTATGATACCTCTGACTCCTTGCCACTGTCTTCCCATGTAGAGTTCTGTACACATCTAACTTAAGCGCCTGGGTAAAGGACTGAGGAGCTCGGCTTTCCTTTATGGAGGTGCTGCTCTACCTTCCCCTGCACATGGTATGCTAAGCACAGAGGGACCCCTGCAATATCCCCAAACCCACATGTGAGATCTTAACAACTATGCTGACTGGGGATGTGTGGTCATGACTGCAAAGCGATAGCCTCTTCTCCAACATGGCAAAAAATAATGACCCAGGAATCTAAAACAGCCTGTATATTCTCTTCAAGGAGTGTTCCCTGACCACTTTCCCTCTATACCAATTTCTGGATAGTAGCCCTCTGTGTACTTATTTCTACCAGATAACTTATCAGGTAGAATACTAAGAACTGGCTTAATTTCAGGTGTCCTTGACTGACTCGTCTTAAAGGGTCCATTTTTGTGTAAGCCCACACTTGGGACAATTACATGTAGAAATCACAAAATGCTTATGTATTCATTAAACAAATGCATATGTTAAGGGCATAATAATATATTAGTTTAGCAAAGCCAATCTAAACCACGTAACTGGTTTATTTTTACTCTGACACAAGCTGTCAACACAATCAGGAAAGGCATAGGCAAATACTTTCTCCTCTTAGGCTCTCATCTCTTGGTAAAGAAATGTTCTAGGAAACAGAAAAATACCTGAGCATCTGAGTGTGCTTCAAACTGTGCAGTCCCACCTGTGGCCTGATCAAAGGTGTACATGAGGCGGATGTCTTCATCATGCAATTCATGGCCTTCCACAACAATGGTCCCTATGGAGAAGCAGCTACACTGTTAATCAGCTTCCCCTCCTCTTCAAGCTGCCCCACTACCTATGTATTACGCCCCTTCTTGATGAAAATTTCACAACAGCAAAGCTACAGAGGCTTCAAGAGATCATTTCCCTCTGACTCATGTCATGGTTGTGGCCAAGATAGGACAAACTTTCTTTAGATTACACTATGTTACCTTGAAGACAGTTAAGTCATCACCAGTATCTACTGTTTTATATAAATTCTCAGGTCCAAAGACATGACAAAGCTAAGAGAAGGCACCAAGAGGCAACAAATGCTCACCATAAACACAGAGCAGCAGGACATAATGAAGAAAACACAGTCTTTACAGAGAAAGTGAACTTAGGTCCACTATTTGCTGGTTGCATGACATGGTGTTCTGGTACCTGCTGAGCAAGGTGTGGGGAGGCTAAAATGAGACGGGCAGTGTGCAGTACTGAGCATCACGCCTGTCCAGGGAGGCAGTGCGCAGTACTGAGCATCACGCCTGTCCAGGGAGGCAGTGC